CACACAGTGGAAGGAGAGAACAGACCCCTGCAAGCTCTTCTCTGACCTTCACACATGTGTTCTTCCCCCCCCCCCACCTGCACATGCACAGAATAATAAAAGTGTAGCAAAAATTTTTTTAAAATCCCTTACAGTTTTATTCATAATAAGCCAAAACTGGAAACACAGCCAATGGTGAATGGACAAACACTCTGTAGTGATCCACACAAGGGCTGTACTTGTCTACAGTGGTAAATGAACAACACAGAACACAGTCATCCCATATGAGGGCTGTACCGGTCTACAGTGGTAAATGAACAAAACAACCGCAGCCATCCCATATGATGACTGTACCGGTCAACATAGTAAATGAACCACACAGAACGGCAGCCATCCAAAGACATAAGATGCTGGCAGACAACCAATAGGGATGAAACTGAAGAGGATTAGGCAGAGTGAAAGAAACCAGACCCGAGATGCAGATTCCACTGATAGAGAACAGGAAATGCCCCTTAAGGATAAAGAGCAGGTCCGTGGTTGCTCTGGGCGCAGGGCAGACAGGGCCAGTTGACTTCAGGAAGGAGGACCTCAGGGTCCTGGAGATGCTCTGTCAAGACGGTGACTTCTTGAGTAGATGCAGCTGTTATAACTCAGCGAGTTGTATTTTTAAATGGATACAGTTTGAGGTACATAAATTATTTACTCATAAATTTTACAATACAAAAATTGGCCTTGTTCACTACTCTTCCGGGCTGGAATCTATTTCTCATTCAGCACTGGTTTTGACTCAGTGATTCTGGGTCTGCTTTCAGAAGCCATGCCTATGAAAACATGGCTAAAAACTAAGCATAAATACACCGCTCCAAGAGTCCCTGGAACATCTGAAAGAAACCAGCTATTTCCTGAGTCTTTTCTTCTCTGGGTTATACACTGCTGGACTTCATCCTCCCGGTCTGTGTTTTAGATATCCTTTAAGCCCTGGGCTGTCTAGCTTGCCTAATTTCCCACGGTAGTTTGTCAACAGTCCTCGTGGGACGACTCACCCGAAGTAGAAGGCTGCACTCTAGGAACCACCTGTCGAGTTTTGCTCAAGAGGAGCAGCAAAAGCAGAGCTACGGCCAAATAAACAACGTGAGTCCTCTGGATCACTACTCTTTTTAGTCTTTACAATAATTTTATTTTACTATTTTTTGTGTATGGGCTTTGTGTCTCTATGTATGCCTGTATATCATGTACATGCCTGGTTTCAGCAGAGACCAGAAAAGGGCATAGGATTCTCTGAATTGGAATACTGGACAGTTGTGAGCTAGCCCATGGGTGCTGAGTCCTTTGAAAGAGGAACTAGTGCTCCTTACCACTGAGCTGTCTCCCCAGGTCCTCAGTTTTAAATCTTAAAGAAATTGATTATTATAGAACTTGCAGTATAATGAAGGGGCTTAAATTATTTATTTGGCTTAAGTTTTTGCTCCATTTTAGAACCCCGAAATGAAAATAGATTAAGGATGTTCTGAGCGATCGTATCAGTTAGGAGACAGACTCCACCAGAGAGAAATGCTTGTAAGTGAGGCCTTAAGATGGCTTTGGGGCTGGGAAAGGGTGTCCAGCTTTGTGTCTGATCTGCAGAGGTGTGCATTCCCCCATTTGCATCATAGTTCCTACCTCTTGGAGTCAAACTTCCCAGCAGCTCTATGATCATAGCCTTGGCGAAGAGGCCGAGAAACCATGACCACACGGAGTGCAAAGCAATCTCCATGGAAGAAAAACTCAAAGCATATGGTGACTGATGGTTGGTGGTGGGAAATAAAATATTAACAAATGTCAGAGCGGCTCTGAGACTGCTGTGCCACATACATGTTTTATGTGATCTGTGCATGAGGTGGCAAAGCTGCCACTCAGGAGCAAAATCAAAAGAAAAAATACTTTGTATACTTTATTTAAATCTACCCTGACAGTAGATGCTGCAAATACAGTGGAAATATCTTCAAAGTTTTTAAACTTTTTTGTTTTGTTTTGCTTCTTTGAGAGAGGGTTTCTCTGTAGTTTTCGGGCCTGTCCTGGAACTTGTTCTGTAGACCAGGCTGGCCTAGAACTCACAGAGATCCACCTGCCTCTGTTTTCTGAGTGCTGGGATTAAAGTTGTGTGCCAATCACTGTCTGGCTAACAAATACTTTTTAAAATTGTACTATTAAACACCAAAAACCAATGTCAGTGTCTGTTTGAGGGAAATAGAGTGGAGTGTAGAAAGAAGAGCTAAAGGCAATTTCAGGTAATATGATAGTCAATAACATTTTTTTTTTTGGTATTTAAAGGCAAGGTTTCTCTGTGTAGCCCTGACTGCCCTGGAGTTTGCTCTGTAGACCAGACTGGCCTTGAACTGGGATCTACCTGCCTCTGCCTCCTGAGTTCTGGGATTAAAGGTGTGCGCTACCACTGACCGGCTTTGATGACCAAATATTTATATCAAGATATTTTCTAACCTACCACTGGATGAAATGTTTAAACTCAGTAGTGTAGCTTACAAGAGGCAAAGTAACTTCTTTGTTTTGCTTTGCTTTGTTTTAAGAATTTATTTTGTGTTTGTTTTTTACCTGTGTATATGTCTATAATAAAATGCTAGATTCCTGGAACTGGGGTTACAGACAGTTTTAAGCCACGATGTAGGGGCTGGGAATTAAGCCCAGGTCCTCAGAAGGACTTAACCACTGAGCCGTCTCTTCAGCCCTATCTTTCTTCCTTTGAGACACGGTGTTGCTGTGTAGTTCTGGCTGGCCTGGAGCCCACTTTGGAGACAAGCCTGCCTTTGCCAGCGTTGATTCTCTTTTCATTCAAAAGATTGTTACAGTGTTGGTACTTTGTAAAGCTAAAGCTCCAGGAGTAAGATAACTAAAAACAAAGCCATCCCACTTGGATTTGTATTAACTCTGCACTAGCTTGGTATTTCTAAACATTAAAGTTTTCATATTTGCATTATTTTTTTGAAAAGGTAAGGTTCTATAGAATACTGCATCCTTTTAGGCTTTTTGAGACAGGATTTTTCTGTGTAGCCATGGCTGTCCTGGATCTCACTCTGTAGACCATGTTAGCCTTGAACTCACAGAGTTTCTCCTGCCTCTGCCTCCCCAGTACTGGGATTAAAGGCATATGGCACCACCACCTGGCCTCTTAAATGACTGAAAGTTTATTTTAAAGGATCATAGTAGCCATTTGCTGCTGTGTGCACTGACAGAAAACTTCTCTGCACCCTTCTGCTGCTGAGTTCCATAATTTTTGACAATGTCTTAGTTCGGGCTGTTTTAACAAATTTCCACAGAATGGATATGTCTTAAACAGGTTAATGCTCTCATTTCCAAGATCCGTGACATCTAAGGCCACACGCTGATAGATTTAGCTTTAGGTGAGAGACTTCCTCTGACTCTCCATGTATCTGCTTGGTTTGTTTGGTAGACAGGGTCTAATGCAGGGCAGGCTGGCCGTAAAGTGAACCCTGCCTCAGCTCCCCAGCTTTAGGTAACACAGGCACGTGTCCCGTATCCACCAACCTTTCTGATCTCCTACAAGGCCACTGTTCTTATTCACTAAAGCTCCACTTCTAACTAATTATTCCTCAAAGGTCCCACCTCTAAATACCATCACATTGGGAATTAGATTTCAACATTTGAATTTTTGCAAGTTAGAAGATTAGTAAACATTTGGTCCGTAACAAATGTATCCTTCTTTTGCTAAGACCCTTGCCTTCATTAACCCAATGCATCCGGCTGCTAGAGAGATGTTCTTCCAGAGGGCCAGAGCTCAGGGCTACCACCCACACTCCTTCAGGAGACCCACAATCCAACTCCAGCTCAAGGGGAAGTCACTTTCTAGCCTCTGAGGGAACTGCATGAACATACATGTATTGTTTTCATCTTAAAATACAAATGAACAAACAAACAAACGCTATGAAAGGAATGGTAATTCAGCTTTTCTACTATGAACTATTTATGGAGCCAGAAATAGTTAGGCCAGGCGTGATGGCACATGCCTTTAATCCCAGCACTCGAGAGGCAGAGGCAGGTGGATCTCTGAGTTCGAAGCCAGCCTGGTTTACAGAGTGAGTGCTAGGACAGCCAGGGCTGCACAGAGAGATGCGGTCTTGGAAAAAAACAAACAAAACTCACAACAACAACAAAATAAAAGTTAAATAGTCCATTTATTAGCTTATGTTATGAAATCATAGGTTTCACAAGTTACAAGGATTGATTTTTATAGTCCAGGAGAATTGAAAGAAATTGATATTATTGAGCATTTATAAATTAGGAATTAATACCATTGAGGATGACAAATTAAGATTTGAAGTTCAGTTTTTTTCCCCAAAGGTTATAGGTTACATAGCTATTAGGCAGTAGACTCGCAAAGGAAAAAAAAAGAAAAGAGTAAGTCAGAAGAATTATGTGGGGCCTAGTGGACAGAGGTGGAATTTTTTTTTTTTAATCTAAACATCTCTGGGAGAAAGGGATCATTGAATCGCTATTTTACCAGCTACAAGTTTTCCTATTAAAATATGCCGGCCAGTCGTCACAGAACAACTCTGCTAAAGACGTTTAAAAAGGTAACTTACATTTGTAATTTGA